AAAATGGGTTCTCTGAAAAATCAACAAAATTGATAAATCTCTAGAAAGACTGACAAAACTCGAGAATACACAGGTCACCAACATCAAGAATGAAATGAGGGTATCACTACACATTCTGCAGCTATTAAAAGGATGATATGGAAATACTGTGAGCAACCTTGTTTCTAAATCCAGCAACTTGACAGAAGTGGATCAAGTGCACTTGATCAAGTGGATCCTCAAAAAAAACCAAGCTACCAAAACTCAGCCAGATAATCTGAAAAATCCTATAACTGTTGGATAATCTGAGTCATTTTAGAGCCATTAAAGAAATTGAATTCATAGTTTAAAAACTTCTAAGAAATCTCCAGGCCTAGATGGTTTCACTGGAGAATTCTACCAAACATTGAAAGAGAAATCAATATCAAATATGAACAATCTCTTCCAGAAAACAGAAGAGGATAGAACACTGATCAACTCACTTTAGGAGTTCATAATTTATGAGGCCACTCTTACCTTGTTATTACACCACGTAAAGGCTGTACGGATAAAACTGTTGATAAGTATCCCTCAGGAACTTAGATGCAGAAATCCCTAACAAAATATGAGGAAACTGAATGCAACAATGTATAAAAAGAATTACACTCCGTGGCCAAGTTGGGATTTATTTTAGGAATGCAAAGCTAGATCAATGGTCACAAATCAAACAATGGTATCCACCAGATTAACAGATGAGAGAAGAATGATCATATAATGACATCAACTACAAAGAAACACTTGATAAAATCCAGCACTCATGACAAAAATTCTTTGCAAGAATAGAGGGAAATTACCTCAATGTGACAAAAAACATATCTGAAAAACCTGTACTCAATGGTGAAAAACTGAATGGTTTCCCCCTTTCACCCCCACAACATTAGGAATAAGGCAAGGATGTCTGCTTTCACCACTCTTATTTAACATAGTAATGGAAGTTCTAGTCAGTGCAATATGGCAGGAAAAAGAAAAGGCATAAGGATCAGAAAGGAAGAAATAAAACCGTCCTCATTTATACAGATGACCTAATCGTCTATATAGAAAGACCCAGAGAGTCTACCAAACCCCACCCCCAAAACTCCTAAAATTAGTGACTTAAGCAAGGTCATAACACACAATATCAACACATTTCTGTAAACTAACACTGAATGTATGGAAACCAAAATTAAAAGCACGATATCATTTACCATTTCTCCTAAGAAAATGAAATGCTCAGGTATAGAATGTGTGTAAAATTTGCATGCTGAAAGCTACAAAATGGTGATAAAGGAAATCAAAGAAGACTTAAATAAATGGAGAGACCTACTGTGTCCATGGACTGGAAGATTCCACATCATAAAGATGTCAATTCTCTTTAACTTGATCTATAGATTTGATACAATTCCTATGAAATCCCAACGACGTGCTTCATAGACATAGACAAGCTTGTTCTAAAATTGATACAGAAATACATAAGACTTAGAGTAATTAAAACATTCCTGAAAAGGGATAAGAGGACTCACTTGACTCAATATTGATACTTTCTCTAAAGCTGCATTAACCAGGACAGTACAGTATTGGAAAGCATAGACACTGACTGCAACAGAAAGAAACCCAGAAACTGATCCACAGAAATATGCTCAATGGACTTTTGACAAATGTGAACATTCAGTTCAGTGGAGCCTGATTGCCTTTATTTATTTTTTCAATGTTTATTCTTGGTTGGGGGGGGAGGGTCAGAGAGAGAGGGAGACACAGAATCTGAAGCAGGCTCCAGGCTCTGAGCTGTCAGCACAGAGCCCAACGCGGGGCTTGAACCCACGAACCCACGAACCGCGAGATCATGACCTGACCTGAGCCAAAGTTGGATGCCTCACCAACTGAGCCACCAGGTGCCCCAGATGATTGCTTTTAAAGATTGGCCTGGAGTAAGTAGTTATCTGCAAGCAAAAATCAAACTTTGACCTCAACCTTAAACTTGAAACAAAACTAACTCAGGGTGTCTGGATGGCTCGGTTGGTTAAGAAGCGGACTCTTGATTTCAGCTCAGGTGATCTCACACTTGGTGGAATCGAGCCCTCCATCAGGCTGGGTGCTGATGGTGCAAAGCCTGCTTGAGATTCTCTCTCTTCCCCTTCCCCCCCCGCCCAAAAAATAAACTTAAAACTAACTCAAAACATATCATCTAAATGTAAAACATAAAACTATAGAAGTTTTAGGAAAAAAATAGAGAAAAATGTTAAAGTTCCTGATTCCAAAGGAGACTTGAGCCAATGGAGAGTAACGCTATGTTTTTGAATACTGAGACTCAAGATCATTAAGATGTCAATTTTCCATAAATTATAAATGTGGTAGGATTCCCGTAAAATAGTGCTGGGGTGTGATTTGCTTGTGTGTGTTTGACCGTGTGGAGAATGCTGTGTGCCTTTGGGGTGGGGGAGGGTGGGTTGTAAATTGAACAGACTGCTTCTAAGACTTATGCGAAGCAAAACATCCAAAAAAAAAAAAAAATTCTAAAGAAGAATGGCAAATAACTAGCTCTGGTAAATAAAACATTGAAAAAAAAATCCATGATAATTAATGTTGTGGACACACGGAATAAACACATAAATGCGACAGAATAAAAATCCTGCCTTGTTTTTGCATTTCCCATTCTTCATTTCACAGGAGTTTCATTCGCCCCAGGGTAAACCTGAAAGAACCCAGAAAAAAAAAAAAAAAGTCCATTGAATTTCAAAAAGATTTTTTTTTAAACTCTTAACTAAAGCATTTGTCTTAAAAGCCGAAAGTTTTTTAACTTCAGCAAACTTTTCTAGAGAGGAAAGCCTCTTTTAGCTTACAAATCATGGTTCTGAATATCAACCTCTTCATTACGGGGTCAGGGGCACAGCTGAGTGCCTAGATGCCTTCAAGGAGGGGCTGAGGGAGGTCCAGGGGCCCTAGAGTAGTCATAAGGAAGGTGAGGTGCACGGACCACATTGGTTAAAGAGCACGAGACCAGGGTCCTCTCAGTAGATGGCACCTGGGGCACCTGGGTGGCTCAGTCGGTTGAGCGTCTGACTCTTGATTTCGGCTCAGGTCATGATCTGATGGTTGTGAGACTGAGCCCCATGTCAGGCTCTCTGGTGAGCACGGAGCCTGCTTGGGATTTTCTCTCTCTGCCCCTCCCTCCACCCCATCTCTCTAAAGAAATAAACTTAAAAAAAAAATAGATACCACCAAAGATGGCCACTGGGGGTCATGTATCTCCATAGGATCCAAAGCGGAGCAGTTAGAAGTGACCGTGGACTTCTCTGTGGTAAGACTTCTCTGTGGTTCCCTCCTCTGTGGTAAGGAGACTAGAAGACTTGAGCAGAACTTGACTGATTCGCCCCAAGGAGAATGGGGGAAAAGCGGGGAGCAGGAATTGAATTCAATTATGTTTACTCATAAAGTGACTTAGTCGCTAAATTGCCCCAGTGTGCATGGAAAGGACTCGAGGCCTTTTCTTTTATCCGTCCGATTGGGAGCTCAGAATGACCAAATAGATTGAATTGTAGAACTTCTAAAAGTTAGGTGTTTATGCACCCGCATGCTTTAGGTTTAAATTCATAATCACTTAACACATTTTGATATTTCTGCATTTCAAAAATATTTTGCAATGAGAATACTGTGTACTCATGTGTTTATTGTGTCTCTTTACAAATAGCTCAGGAGAGTAACTTTGACTTGCTCAGCAATTACAACTGCTAATCACCGTGTTATTCAACACCTATTTCGTCTCACAAGTTGAGTCTGAAGTTCACCCTCATTGTTTTATATATTTTTGAAGCGAATAATGGTGAATAGTCTTTTATTATTACACATTGAACTCAGTTGCTTTGTTTTTATGGAAGTTTCATGTCAAAAATCCTTTACTGTTGACTTTTTTTTTTTTTTTAGCTTTCCAGGAGTAATAATATTAACCTAATAGAAAGATATTTTGTTGACCCTTTTTCATATTTTCATTGAGCTTTCTTTCCTTGCCTTTGTGACTGGGCTTGTGAAGGGCTCAAGACCCAATGTGAAGGACGTTTTCTGAATTCCTGCCCCCTGCCCTGACCGTCCCCTGGTCCCTCTGCTTTCTCTTACTCTCCTCTCACTGGAAGCTCCCATTTGGATCTGCCTCTCATTTGTCTTTCTTCTTACTCAATTTCACAGCGTTCTTTGAGCAGTCTGCTCCCTGAGCCATCTGTCTGCTCTTCCTCTGAGCCCCTTGGTCATCCCGTCCATGGGGGGGGGGCATTGCTGTCAGCCCCACAAGGACTTCTTTGTGTAGCTTGTGTTCAGCCAGAGGAAGCAAAGGGTTAGACCCAGTCATGTGCACTGTTTCTCTGGCCAGAGCTTCACGACTCTCACATGTGGGTAGGAGTCCCTGTGCGTCAATTCCCTTCTCCTCCACCCCCAATTTCCCTTCCCTTGAAGCCCCACGTGTGAGTTACAGGAAACTTGCAGGGTGTTGCTAGAAAACCTTCTCTCTAGAAGGTTTCTAGCTCATCCCAAACCCATTTCCTGAAAGATATCTCTCTTTTTGCTTCCCTTATCTTCTTAAAACACAAGGTGATTAGTTTTTGGCCCAGTCTCCATTTTAATAACCACTGGTTCAAGCATCCAGTTTATGTTAAAAGGAGATTCAGTCAAGTGTGATTTTAAAGTGGTTTATACTTCAGGGGAGTGGACTGGTCATTTTAAATGGAAGCTTTTGAGATGAACACTAGATCACGCTCTGACCTTACAGTTATCTCCTGGAATAGGGCAATGGGCATCTGTTCACAGGCCTGCAGAGTGTCTTATGTTTTTGTTATGTTAACAAAGAGGTTGAGGAAGTAAGAATCAATTATTAGAAGCTGGCCCCCAGCCTCACTTTTGCTCTGGCCCTGGCTGCGAGGGGTGAGATTTTGCCAATCACTTGAAGCCGTGGCCGTGTAACATTACCTATAAGCTCCCATGCGGAAGATACGCATGCCTATTTGGGTAGAGATTTCATCTTAGGGAAGGGATTTCCTCCCCACCACTCTCCTCAGAGCATCCTGGACTTCTTTGTTTCTCAGACTGTACACAACAGGGTTCAGCAATGGTGTTATCACAGTGTAGGTCACTGAGATTAACTGGTCCTGATCCTTGGTGTTCTCTGACTTGGGCTTGAAGTAGGCAATAGAAGCACAGCCATAGTGGATAATGACCACCGTGAGGTGGGAGGAGCAAGTGGCAAAGGCTTTCTTCCTGCCCTCAGCTGAGGCAATCTTGAGGATGGTGGAGATGATGAGGACGTAGGAGATGAGGAGGAAAGTGGCAGGGGCTGTGATGGCCAAGAGGCTTATAGTTAAGGTCAAGATATCATTAACGATTGGAGTAACACAGGCTAAATCCAACACAGGTCGAACATCACAGAAGAAGTGCTCAATCAGTGAGTTACAGAAAGGCAGTCGGAAAATGGCCGCAGCCTGAACCAGAGAGAGCAAGAACCCCGAGGCACAGACCGAGGACGCCAGAATCGTACAGGCCCTCCAACTCATGACGATTGAGTAACGAAGTGGGTTGCAGATGGCCACGTAGCGATCAAACCCCATGACTGCTAGCAGGAGGCAGTTGGTGATGGCAAAGCCGAGGAAGAAAAAGAGCTGAGTCCCACAGCCCACCAGGGAGATGGACTGGCTCAGACCCACGAGGCCGGAAAGCATGCGTGGGATGATGACCAGGGAATAGCACATCTCTGATGTGGAGAGAACACTTAGAAAGAAGTACATGGGGGTGTGGAGGTGGTGGTCAACACGGATAATAGTCACAATGATGACATTGCCGGCCAGAGTTAAGAGGTACAGGGTTAGAAACACGGCAAACAGTATGAGTTGATGTTCTCGGAAGTTGGAGAAACCTTGGAAAACAAACCCCCTCACCCCTGTGTGATTGGCTGTCTTCATTGAGGACGTCAGATGAGAAGGGTAAAGAGAAGGTTGACACTATCCCTTTGCACCAAAGACCACCACGTCCCCTGGTGAGCACACAGTCAAGAGCAAAGATTCAGTAGCTCAAAACAGGTTCGAAACTTCATGAATCAACCGCCTTTCCCAGGGACGTGGAAGACTCGGTCCTAGAACTGAAGTAAAGATATCAAAAATCTGAGCAACAGTATTTGAAAGTTTGAGGGAAAGCATTCTTTGCAAGGACACCTGACCCTGTGGATGGCCCATGAAGTTGGTCTAGATTTTCTTAAAATGTTGACCACATTCTCAGGGGACAGTGTGATTAAGTTAGAGACTATGAGATAGACACACAAAAAAGCTTGAAAAATTGGAAATGTTTGGAAATCTATAGTTCAAAGAGGAACTTAAAATGGAAGTCAGGAAGTATTTAGAATTAAATAGTAATGGAAGAACCATATAGCAGAACGTGCACTGTGCATTCAGAACGTTATCAGAAGAAAGTTTATCATTGAAAATGCTTATTTTTTTAAAAAACTGAAAATTGATGAGAACTCATCCTGAGAAGTTATAAAAATAACAGAGTAGGAGGGAAAAAACAGGCGCCTGGGTGGCTCATTCTGATGAGTGTCTGACTCTTGATTTTGGCTCCGGTCATGATCTCATGGTTTGTGAGTCTGAGCCCCAGATGCGTTGAGCATGGAGCCTGCTTGAGATTCTCATATTCATTCATTCTCTCGCTCTCTCTCTCTCTCTCCCCCCCTCTGCCCTTCTCTCCCCCCTCCCTCCCCTTCTCCCTCTGCCCCTCTCCCCTGCTTGTGTGCACACTTTTTCTAAAATTAAAAAAAAAATGAATAATGATGAAACAGATGTTAATAAAATATAGAAGATCCACAAAGGTAAACTTTAGGTAAACCCCTGGTGAAAATCTGATCAAGAAAAACAAGTGAAGACATAAACTGGATTATGAATAAATGAAGGGACACCGTTACATAATCTTCAGACACAGAAAGATGAACGGTAACATTATGAACAACTTTATCTCAATATATTTCTAAACTTCAGTGAAATGGATACATTTCTAAAAAAAATTATCAACTTTGAATCAAGAAGTAGAAAACCTGAAAATGTTTTTAAGAAATAAAGACAGTAATGGGGCCCCTGGGTGGCTCAGTCGGTTAAGCGTCCGACTTCGGCTCAGGTCATGCTCTCAGGGTTTGTGGGTTCAAGCCCCACGTCGGGCTCTTTGCTCACAGCTCAGAGCCTGGAGCCTGCTTCGGATTCTGTGTCTCCCTCTCTCTGCCCCTCCCCTGCTCACACTCTGTCTCTGTGTCCCAAAAATAAATAAACATAAAAAAATTAAAAACAGAAAGAGCAGTGAAAAAAAATCTATAAACAAATCTCTAGGACAAGGTAAATTTACCAGTAAGTGCTATGAAACATTACAGGATAAGCTGGTTTCAATACGATACAGATTTCCATGTTAGGTAGTAAAGGAGAAGTCCTCCTTACCTCCTTTTACAAAGCTGGAATTATCCTGACGACAAATTTAACAGGCCGATCTCACGGATCTAGGTGTAAAACTCTTAAGCAATTATTATCAAGCCAAATCCAGCAATGTATACAATGGGTACATGACCAAGTTGGTTTTGTTTCAGAATGCGAAATCTGTTTAACATTAAAATGATCCAATAATGTATTTCCTCAAACTGTTTAAAGGGGAAAAGTCATGTGATTATTTCAATTGCTGCCAAAAAAGCATTTTTTAAATTGAGTGTCTACTTACAAGAAGAACCCTGAGCCAACTAAGAATACAAGATTTTCTTTAAGTTGGTAAAGCATGTGTACAGAAGTTCAGCCAACATACACTTCGTGGTGAGATTGGGAATGAGATAAGGGTGACTGCTTTATCCACCTCCTTCAACATTGAACTGTACGTCCTAGCCAACCCAGTAAGCCACGAAAAAGAAATTAAAGATATAAGGATTGAGAAGGAAGAAACTCTTTACAGATGATGTGCTTGTACATACAGAAAATCCAAAAGAACCTACTGATAAACATTATTAAGAGAGTTTAGCAAGCTTTCTGGTACAAAATTTATAGAAATCCATTGAATTTCTGTACTTCAACAAACTGAAAGCAAATTAAATTTGAAGAGGCTATCATTTATAATAGCTTAAAAATATCAAGTATGTAGGAATAAAGGCCTTCACCAAGAAAATTACAAAACCTTAATGAGGAACACTAAAGAGAACTGAAGTAATGGAACAATGGACCCCACTGATGAGTTGGAAGATCTAAGATTTTGAAGATTCCAATTCATCAGAAATCTATGAATTCCTAGATCTGTGGTTGACAAATCAGTAGAGTTCAATCAGAATCTCAAATGGATTGCTGTTCGTTGGTTGGTAGCTTCATAACTGATACTAAAATTTATATGAATGTACTAAGATCTGAGAGAAGCCAAAACACTCTTGAAGAACAGAAGATTGGCCTTTCAAATATTATTACTTATTAGGCAACAGTCATTAAGAACGTGTGGTGTTGGCACAGAGGTGAAGAGTCACTCTCGTGGAAGAAAACAGAGCTCTGAAATATGGGAACTCTTCATGCCAGGGCTGGCACTGTAGGTTGGTGGATTAGTCAATGATCTTGGAATTGTTGGCTATCTGTATGGGGGAAAATGAAATTAGATCGCACCATAAAAACATTAATTTCAAATGTAGTAAAAAACCTAGGAAGAAGCAAATCGCCCTATGAAATGTTTAGCAGATAATATAGGAGAATGTTTATAAAGCTCTGGGTAAGAGATACAAAACATAAAGGAAAATAATGATACATTCTGTTGCATAAACATTAACTTCCATGTTTCAAAATAAAGTACAAGAAAAGGGCGGGAACAAGTAAATATATATATTAAAAAACCACAAATAAAATACTAGTATCTAGAGTATCTAGAGTTTGAAACACCAAAAAGAAAAAAAAAGATCAGCTTAATATAATGATAGATTTAGCAAGTGTATAGGAATCCCACATCAGACACACAGATGACATGTGAACAGATTTTTAACGTCATTAGTAGCCAGGGGAAAATAGACCACAGACCACAATTTCACACCGATCAGGCTGCGAAAAAGTCAAAGCTATCACAAATAAAGAGCACTGGCGGTTCTGGTTCCCTGCTGGAAGGAGAGCGAATTGACACAATCATTTTGGAAAACAGTTTGACATTACCTGTTCAAGTTGCAAACCAACGGCCCTATAGGAGCCAGCCATTCCACCATGAGAATTTAATCCAGAACAACTAAAGACACACAAAGTTAAGACAGCTTTGTTTATAATAGGGGAAGCAAAACAAACAACAACCCTGAAAAAACCAAACGTTGTTAAAAAGCAGAAAGGATAAAGTAAACCCTACAATATATTATGGAACAGCAAACGAATTAATTATAAAACAGGGGTGTGCAAACACAGCCCAGGGGCCAGTGGTCTGTTTTGTAAATAAAGCTTTATTGGAACCCAATCACACCCACTTGTCTACATGTTGTGTAAATTGCATTCACACTGTAGCAGTGAAACTGAGTAGCTTCAGCAAGAGACTGTATGGCTCACAAACACTAACATGTTTACCACCTGGTCCTTTACAGAAAAGGTCCACGGTGCCTGTGAAAGATTCCTAAGGGCACTGGTTACAGTTTCATGCTCCAGCATAGATGAATCTCACAACCATAATGTTGAATAACAGAAGCCAATCACAGACACGTGTGTGTGTGTGTGTGTGTGTGTGTGTGTGTGTGTGTCCCATTGATGTAATGTTCAAAAGAAGGCACGACTAAACAATATATTATTTAGGGATAATCTGTTTCTTTATAAATGTGGGAATACTTTAATCTAAAATTCATGATCATGACTATTTGGTGAGTATTTGAAGTATTTGAAAGGAGCATCTATGAGGCTTCTAGATTTACAGTGATCTTTAGTTTCTTAGCCCGGGGAGAGGGTAGCTAGGTGTTTGCTATTTTTTCTTAAAATGCACATTTGTTTTATATACTCTAATGCATACCCTATTCTACAATAAAAATTTTAAATTATACGTCAAGGAAAGTGTTCATGATATTGTTCAGTGGGGAAAATATTACAAAACAGTAAAAGTCATATGATCCCAATTTTGTAAAGAAAGTAAAGTTCTATATTCACGTGTATGTGAATATGTATACAAAAAAATGAAAATTAAGTAAATGAGAGGCAACTGGGTGGCCCAGTTGGTTGGGCATGTGACTCTTGATCTCGGTTCAAGTCGTGATCCCAGGGTCACGGGAACAAGTCCCACATCTGTGCTCGGCACTCTTTCTCCCTCTTTCTCCTCTCCCTCTCTCTTCCTCCTCTTCTTTCCCTCCCTTGCTCATGCTCACTCCCTTGCTCTCTCTCTAAAGAAATATAAATATGTATAAATGAATATGTGTGACATTTGTAAACAGAAACTAATAAGGTATTTTAAAAATCTGTACTATGTAGCTTTTAAATGATACCCTGAAAATTATGTAATTCAATGGGAAATAAGTTATAAAACAGGATATGATATATACAAAATTACCTCAGTTAGATGAAAATGTGCCCAGAAAAGATGCTGAATGGAAATCCTCTAAATGTTAGTAGCGTGTGATTCTGCATGGTAAACTTATGGGTGAATTTTTGCTGTGTCCTGAATTTCCCGAAGTGTCCATAATAAATATATATTATGCAGTGGGATAAGGTAGCTTCAATTTCTTTTAAGCCTCCCTTGGGGTAGTTCTCCTCACCCTCTTTCCACCCAGGCACCCCGCCCATCTCGGTTCTCTCAGGCTTTCATTCATTTGTACATGATAACACTTGTCACATTCAATTGAAATGATTTATTATCTCACTTTTCAACTAGATTGTAAGTTTTTTTGATGACAGATCCTACTGACTCGTTTCCACATACCCGGAACTTGGCTCAATTTTTGCCGTACGTCAAGCCT